ACAGTGGTCCCTCTGATGCCTCTGCTTGGAGTCTGATGGGCACCTATAACTCCCCGGTCCCCATGCCCTCCCACCCCAACCTCCTCCTCCCTTTTCTTCCCCCCTCACCCAGGGGCTCAGCGCTGAATTCAGTCCCATCCTGGTTCTCTCTTTTCTCAACCCCATTTTACTTTCAATATAACTTTTCCTTAGCACTATAAAACTGATCCATCCTGGTGCAGCTACTGTCACCTACACTGAGTTGTTGCAAAAGTCCCCCAAATATTCCCTGCTTCCAGCTTGGCCCTTGCTGAGTCTTCCTGGGCTGTCACAGCAAATCACCAAGGTAATGGTTAAGAGCACTGCATTCTCATGCAGTTCTTGAGGCCAGAAGCCCAAAACCCAGGGGCCCTTAGGGGTTGGTCCTGGAGCCCAGGGAGATCTGCTCAGCACATCTCTCTTGATCGCTGGTGGTGGCAGCAGTCCTTGGGGGTTCCCTGCCTTCAGATGCCTCTCCTGAGGCTCCATTGTCACGTTGCCTCCTCCTATCTTTTCTTCTTTTCTGAGGATAATGCTCACGGGGTGCGGGAGCCTCTACCGTGCAATGCTCTCAAATTCCTTTTTAAAAAAAATTTACTTTAAAGAGGGTAAAATTAAACATAACAAAACAGAGCAAAACAGAACATAGGAAAGCAATATAAGAGACACAGATTTCAAAACAAGACAACTGGAGATTTTCACTGTCTATTATATTGTCTCTTGTTTTCTTCTAAATAGTTGTCCATATCTTTACATACAGTGAATTCATACAAAACAACATAGTATAAAACTGATCTGAACAGGATGATGAAGGCATTTCAGGTCTTTAAGACCAGACAATAAGGAAGTCAACAATGGCTGTCATAGTGTCTCTTATTCTCTTAAAAATAGCTGTTCATACCTTCATGTACGTTCAAATCAAACAAAACAAAACAGACTAAAATCACTCTGAACAAAGACTAGTAGTATTGCTGGATTTCACATCATAACACTACGGAATCAGCACTGGGTACCTTAGTGTCTCTTTTTCTCAAAGTAGTTGTTCATTTCATCGTGCATTATATAATCAGTTCTCATAAACTGTTTAGATGTTCTGTGCATGCAGGGGTCTCTACATGTATATCTTTCCTTCTGTATTAGAGGGAAAAACAAAACAAAACAAACAAATTCCTAGAAAAACACAAAATGAAAAAGTCATATAAAATCACAATACAAGGTGATCTACAATGGTTACTATGATGTCTCTTGTTATCTTCAATAGAATTGTCTATAGCATCAGGCATAGTATAATTGAACATAGCAGTACATAACAAAATTAATAAAAACAAAACATTGGAGACATTATAAAACTTTAAAAGCAGGTAATAGTCAAATCAGAGTGGGTATCCTAGTGAATCTTGTCATCTTCAGAGTATTTGCCTCTACTCTCAGACTTGTACTATCAATCATAACAGATTCGAATAAAATCCGTCAATACAAAACACTGACCTAACAAACCAGATTCAAATAAGATCACTCATAATAACACAGTGTAAGTAATAGAGGGCTTCAGATTAAGATAATAGGAAATTAAGGATGATTACCATAGTATATCCTGCTATTTTTGGAATAGCAAAATTTTGCCCTCAAGTCTAGTAGAAGTACACAGACTGGAACAGAATATAACCAAAGTAAATAGAGCTATAATAGCTATGTGGATATGTGGATTTTAAATCCTGGTACTCTATTAACAATGTCCTCTGCCTTCCTTTTTTAGACAATTCCTCCTCTTTCACTTTCACAGGGCACACTGTACATTTTGGGTCCCACTAACTCCTTTAGTCTTTGGGTTAGGGGTGCAACCTGCTATTACTTAAATGGTTCTGAACCTTTTACCCTTGGGCTTGATCTTAAGTTGTATTCCTTTACCTACAAAAGCCTCAAGCTTTTCTTTAGCTGAGTAGTTCTCCACTGCACAAAAGTGTTATGTCTTTCTAACCTATCTGCAGGGGCTGGCCCTTTTTCTCTCTGATTCCCCGTCACATAGAGCATTGTTTTCTCATATTTGACTTAACCCGCTTTCAGATTAATTATACTTCCTATACAGAGCATGTTGATGGACCCTATCTCCTGATCTACTCTGTGTTTCTTTTTGTTAGTATGTCAAGGCCATCTATGTTAGAGATTATAGCCAACCTTCTCTGCCTCATCTCTGCTATGCTATTTTTCTGCCATTGGTTGTCTACTTTTCTCCTTCATTCCACTGTCTGCTCCATTCATTGATGCTTCTCTGGCACTGTTCCTGAAATTCTTGTGGTTTTTTTCGCCCTCTCTAGAATGTCCTTCAGTATTTTTTGTAGGGTTGAATTGGCGGTTGCAAATCCCCCCAGTTCCTCTTTGTCATGATGCAAAGAAGCATCTTCTTTCTCCATTAATTTTGAGAGATAGTTTTACAGGGCACATCAATTTGGGCTAGAGGTTATTTTCTTTCAAAGCTTGGAATACTTTGTTCCAAGCTCTTCTTGATTTGATGGTCTGTGTTGAGAAGTCTGTCGTGATTTTGATGGGTTTTCCTTTATAGGTGATCTGTTTTTTTCTCTGATGGCTTTTAATATTCTGTTCTTGTGATGAATTTCTTGGATCCTGATTATTACATGTCTGGGTGTAGCTCTGTTTTAGTTGTAGGTGGCTGGATTTCTGTATGCCTCATACATCTGAATATCATTTTGTTTTCCTATGCTTGGGAAGTTTTCCTTAATTGTTTCTGTGAATAGCCTTTATATTTCCTTTGTGTTTATCCCTGCTTCTTCACTCAATCTTTTATTCTTAAGTTATAGATCCTCTTGTTGTCTTCTAGCCTTTGTATTGTTATTGTCTGTTTCCTTGTTATTTTTAAGAGATCTTTCCTTTTGGGTTCACACATTGCAAACCTATCTTCAAGTTTTGTTAATCTATCTCTAGTTTCTTTCAGGCAATGTTGCCAGCTTTAAATGGAGTTTTTAATTTCCTAGTAATCTCTTTGAACCTGTTTCATGTATTCTAGTTTTTTATAATATTCTTCATTGAAAGTTTCTCTCCCTTTTTTGTGTTCTTCCATTGTTCCATCTGTCTTCTTGGGAAGTGCTTAGCATTTCTTTTATTAATCTTCTTATATCTTGCTTTACTTGTATTGCTATTTTAGTTTTGAGCTCATCTATAATGTCATGAAGATATTTCTTTATGTCAGCTGATGCTGTGTATGATATTTTATGTTTGCTGCCCCTGATCTCTTCTGTGTTTACCTCTCCTGGATCCATATTTTCTGGGTTGCAGGCTGGAGGCTTTTTCTTATTTCTTTCTCCTGTCATATTTCTGGTTTTCCATACAGGTGTATGGTGGAGGTCCCAGTGCTTTCTTTTTGGTTATGGTTCTTCTGAAGCACGCTGGCTAGGATTTCTGGCCTCTCCAGTTTGCTCTTGGTCATTGAGGTGCACGCAGGGATGGTGTAGGCTGGGCCCTCCCCTCCAAGCCAGTCCACCAGTGGGGGTCTTCACCACATTAATGTGTGCTGCGTGGAGGGAACCAGTTTGAGACAACTTTGGGGACAGTTTTTTCCTTGGCTACTGGGTCCCAGCCAGTGTCGTGACCCAGCCCAAGCAGATCCCACCAATCTGCTCTGGGCAGGGAGCAGCCAACTGAAGTCACTGCCATTCCCTTGTTCAGGCCCATCCTGCCCATTTCCAATATGTTGTCCAGTCAGCCCCCTCCCGCGGGAGGACCAAATTCCAAGCACTCAACGTGGGTTAGTGCAAGTCTCCACGCCAGCTCTGTTCTCTGTTGGGTTCACCCAATCCCGACTTCAGCACGACTGCGGCTCCAGTGAGAGCGTGTCTGGCACCAGCCTTCTGTTTTTCTTTTCTTTTCTTTTTCTTTTTCTTTAGTTTCTTCCTGGGTCATGAGAATCCCTCTCCTTTCATCGGGTCTTCTCCAAGGTGGTAAATTCTAATGTCTGAGCTATTTCTCTCAAACAAGTACCTTGTTACTTACTGATCTGCCATCTTCCTCCTGCCTTTTTTTTTTTTTGTTGTTGTTGTTGGTTGGTACCAGGGATTGTGGTTGTTGTTGTTGGTACTAGTGCTTGCCAGGCAGGCACTTATGCTGCTGAGCTAAATCCCTGGCCCCTCAAATTCCTTAATAAATCTGCAAAGGTCCTCTCCAGCACAGCCATTTCACGAGTTCCAAGTGGACATGAATCATCAGCCCACTACACCCCAATCTACTCCCAACCTAGCAACAAGAGAAATCCTTTGAAGACTTAATAGGGAGCATAGTGGCACACACCTGTAGCCTTAGTTTCCTGCGAGTTTGAGGCAGGGGGATCACAGGTTTGAGCCCAGCGTGGGCCTCTTAGTGATTTAGCAAGACCCTGTCTCAAAATAACCCCTTGACTCCTGTGTCAGTGGCTCCTAAGTCAGTCAGTGGGAAGGCTGCAGTCTCCCCAGGGTGACAGCGTGAGAGCCCATGGGGTCTCCCCTCCACATAGTGGCCCTCCACCCAGTGGCTGTGTCACACTGCGGTTCCCTGTGCTGCTCTCAGCTCCTGCACCTATCGTCCCAGGTCTGCATGGCCACTGCCTCCACCGTCCCCCCGGGTTCCTGTTCAGACGACACCCCCAGGGATGCCGCTGGCCTGTGTCCCCTAAGCTTCATTCCTCAGTCCCTGGTGTGTGTCATCTACTCCCAATGTTGTCATTCACATGTCTGCCCACCATAATGGTAGTCCATGAAGGTTTATTTTTGATTTATAAACTAACCACCAATAGGGCCACCTACCTCGAGGTTTTTTGAGCCTGGGGGCATAGGCCTTGTACACAATAAGCCTGGGCCTTTCTGTTGCTGCTACTGTGAGGAGCAGTGGTGGCAATAGTGTGGATATTTCCCTCTAGCGTTCCAAGGCTGCTCCATAAAGAGTGTTCAGGAAATGTTTGTTGATTGAATGCTGGTGCTCTCTGTATCTCTTCCAAGCCATGCATGGGACGTTTGTGATCCTGCTTCCACTCAGCTTGATCCTGATGGTTTTTGGAGGAATGACCGGGTTCCTGAGCTTCCTCCTCCGTGCCTACCTCCTCCTCCTGCTCACAGGGACGCTTTTCCTCTTTGGAGGTAAGTTTTGACCCTGCCAGGGCCAGGCTGCTGAAGAGACTGGGCGGTGGATGCTGCCTATAAAGCCTCAGCAGAGAAAGGGATCCCCATCTCCTGTTGGGACTCAGTTTCCCCACCATTGTATCAGTCAAGAGGGGTGAGCAGTTTCCAGGGAGGAAGCGGGATGGGCGGCTGCCAAGGGCTCCCTGGGTTTCCCAGCAGAGCTGACCTCTGACCTCAGCCTTAGGGTGGCTCCAGCTGAGGGCCATGCACCGCAGACAAGAGGCCCCTGGGTGACAGCCTCACTCCCCAACATCGCAGGCACAGATCATCAAGTGTACACAGCCATAGCCACTCAGACGTGGAGTCTAACAAGCCATCTCCCCGCTCCAGAGAATAAAACTGGGTTCCCAGAGGCAGAGAGAGGACCGGAGATGCTAGTCAAAGAAATGAAATTGTAGCTAGATGCAGGAATAAATTCAAGAGCCCTGTTGCACAGGAACTGTGGCTAACACCGAAGTACCGTGGACTGGAAAACTGCCGAGAGGGTGGACTTCAAGCATTCTGTCCACAACAGAGGGCAAGATGAACAACAAAAACAAGCCAAGTGTGGGAGGCGATATGTTCACCAGCTTGACAGAGCCAGCCCACAAGGAGCACATCCAGCCGAGCCCCGTGGCAGCACTGTAACTATGTACAGTTTTACCCTTCAAAAGGACAGCACGGAGAAGCAAAGCAAAACAAAAGCCAGGCATGACCGATACTGGCTGGGTTAACTGTTTGAGGAACCAGTGGTTTTAGAAGAATGGCTGCTGTAGGCTTCCTGAGTTCCTAGGGTGTCGGAAATGATTCCTTATTATTAAAACAGACAGACAGGCAGGCAGGCAGGCAGGCCGCTGGGCATGGTGGCTCAAGCCTATAATCTCAGCTACTAGGGAAACTGAAACAGGAGGCCTGAAAGTTTGAGGCCAGCCTGGACAGCAAAATAAAAACCAGGGTGGGGATGTAGGCAGCCCCAACAATGGGTCGGTGCAGTTCACAGGCGAGGCGGGGCCTCTGAGGGGATCCATGGCAATTTGTGGTTTACTGTAACAGAGTAAGCATCCGTCGTATTTTTCATCACACCTCGGACTTGATGGTTTCCCTCCTCTGTCCTCTCTCCCTTTCCTCCCCAGCCCCTGCCCCTCCTTCCCCCCCACAGGCCTTCTCCTGGGTTCTGATCATCTTTCCCGTTCTATTTGTTTCTTTCTTCCTGCGATCTGCTCTCCCCACAGCCATGGTGACCCTGGCTGGCATCAGCGTCTACATCGCCTACTCGGCAGCCGCCTTCCACGAGGCACTGTGTCTGCTGGAGGAGAGGGCGCTCCTGGACCAGGTGGACATCCGCTTCGGCTGGTCGCTGGCCCTGGGCTGGATCAGCTTTGCTTCCGAGCTGCTCACCGGGGCGGCCTTCCTGGCGGGGGCGCGCGTGCTCAGCCTGCGACGTGGGCGGGACCAGGCCATCTGAGCCGGCTGCCGGCTGTGGGCTGCGTGACTGGGACCAGGCGGGACTCTTCCCTGTGGGCAAAGCCGCCGGTGGAGGCCGAGGGACAGCTCGGAACGCCAGTGGACCGGGCTTGGGCCGCCGTCTCCTGCCATCTGCAAGCCGGGCTTGCTGAGTGCGTGTGCTGAGTGCGTGTACTGCGTCTGTGCAGGCCAGAGAGGGCGCGAGAGAGCTGCACCCACACCGCCCGACCTAAATCGCGGCTGCCCTCGGCAGTGTACGAGGTCTTGTGACTGCAGGTCCGGGCCGCCTCCCCGCATCACATCCTCCCCTGCCCTTTGGAGCAGAGCTGTTCTTCGTTAGGAAGTGCTCGGGATGGTCAGCGAGTTAGGGACTTGTGCGGCGGCGAGCAGCCACTTAGCTGTGCTCTGGGCTCCCAGGCCTGTGCTTGCTCCGCTCCGAGCTCCTCTGAGGAGGCCTGAGCCTGGCTCCTGCCTCATGAGGCCGCAGTGCGGGTGTTTCGGTGCAGCGGGACTCTGGGCACTGGAACTCCCTCCTGTGCTGGGCCTCCTGGCAGAGGCACTGCAGGGTGAGGACTCTGCCTGGTGCAGTGATTCCTAAGACAGGAGACCCTGCGAACGTTTAGGGGGGCAGTGAGGGTCCCTCCAGGTTGTTGGGAGATCTTCCTAACTGTCAGATGAGTGGGGCCCCAGCATGGCCTTTGACCGGTTCTTTCCCAGGGGTGCTGCCCACAGGAGGTGAGGGCAGTCAGGGCCACAGTGAGAGGAGAAAACCTCAAATCCACCACCACACCACCTGGGCTGCCAACCCAAGCACGTGCTCTGTCTACAGGTCAAGTAGTGGCTCCTGGCCTGGTGATTTTGCATGGTCACTTTCCCAGTGTGGGCAGCGCTGGGTTCCCAGGTGGGAGTGGCGGGGAGACCAGCTCCCGACACAATCTGGGTGTGTAAGAGGCTGGGGACCTTAGGTTAGGGGCTCCCTGGGTGGCTCCCCTGGGCCAGCAAGTCTGGGAGCACTGATGTCATGACACTGTCGTTTTCATCACAGTCATGGTGATATCATCATCGCCATGACACCCCACATTGCTGTGATGCAGCTGCCTCCACAACATTACCCTGTGACACCAACACTTGGCCCACCATCCTTCCATGACATTGTCATCCTCACTGCTGTGTCATCAGTTGCTCTCCTCACCATGACGTCACCATTACAGTTGACACCTGCTCAGCCCTTAACGTGTACCCTCACTATGAGTAAGTTAGACAGTCACTCAACAAACATTTGATGGGCACTATCTACTTGGAAGCAACCAGGATCAGTGACTATGGACCCAATCCTTGGTCTCTGGGTTGTCACAGGATGGGGGAGAGAGGCATGTGGAAATAATCTGAACAGGGCACAGAGGAAGACACTGAGACATAGGCACCAGCTTAGGCAGAGGCACTGGCTTGAGGGCCCAAGGAGAGGAGCAATTTGGCGCAAAATTTATAACTGGCTAATTCCAAGACCGTTCTATCTCCTCTGCCATCACCACCTGCACCACTCGGCCACCACCATCTGATCCTAGGGTCCAGACGTCGCGGCAGCTTTTTTGCTTAATCTGGAAACCCACGCATGAAGCAGGTGTCATAGTGCTGAGTCTGGCTAGAAACACCCGTGCAGGCTTCTGCAGAACGAGAAGGCCATGCTGAGAAAAGACGGTCTTTGCTGCCACCTGCCGGTCATATGGCGGAACTTCGTCAGAGGGCCGACTTGCTTGTCAATCAGCCCATAGGACATTGGGTTCAACCTCTGGGCGCCCAGCCCTGGTCTACAGGGCCGTCACCAAGACCCCTGGCTATATAAGAGGCAGGTCCAGTTGTTAGAACTGGAGGAGAGCGTTACAACTGGCACCAGGTTGGCAGAAGTTGGAGGATGGAGGCCCCTCAGCACCATGGTCTGGTTAGAATCACAGAGAAGGCCCTCAGCCACTCACCCAGTGAGGTGTTACTGGAGAACGCTGCGCGTCAGACCTGGACACAGCGGTGGGGATGGCGGAGAGACCCCAGCCCTGCACTGCTCCCACAGAAACAGGTGATAGCACACGAACCAGTGAAAGGCAGTGGATAGGGTGAGGAAGAAAGCAAGTCAGGGTGGGGGGAGACAAGTGGCTGGCAGGGATGCCGCTGGAGAAGGGCAGCCAGAAAGGACCTCTCAGAGGAGGAGTCCTGGCGCCCAAGCCCAGACAGAGGCACTGCGGGCAGGGAAACGCAGACCAGGGAAGGGATGCTAATGCAGAGGCCCCTGTACATGTTTGAAGGAAATGAGAGAGGCAAGGGGAAGTGGAGGAGGAGAAGAGGGGAGGTGACGCACAGGTGCTTAGTGGCCCGAGGTCCCGTTTGGTTCCATTTCCAGGAGATTGGTGCTGAGAACCAGGGTCAGGGCCAGCTGGGTCTGAGGTGCGGACTTGAAGGCAGTGGTTCCTTCTCATCCGTATGATCTGAGACCTTTGGACCCACCCTGAAGTCCTAACACGTGGCGCTCAGAGGAGCCCGTGGAAAGAAAGCCTTGAGCCTGCTGTGTGAGGACTGAAGGGCAGGGGTGGGTGTGCCCGCAGGAAGTCCGGTGAGAGATGGGAGGGCCCGGCCAAGGGGAGGCGTGGTGCTGTTTGCGGTGTGCTTGGTGCTCAGAGGAGAGCTTTCTACTCATAAAGAATAAATGGAGAGAGAAAGGGCCGAGGGCACCTGTCCAGTTGCTGGAGAGACTCAGCCTGCGTCTGTGTCTGCAGCCCTCCCCTGGCTGGACCTGTGTGCCGCAGAGCCAGTCCAGCTCTCCTCTCAGAGAGGCTGCTCGGCCTGGCATGGGCATTTGCTCACTTGTTCACTATAGACTCAGCCATTGGTTACTTTGCTCATTGGCTCAGCATCCTACTCACTCAGGGCTGCGGGAGGCTCTGGAGGCTGCGACATCTGGGCCATGGAGGCGCATGGCCACCCTCGTCCATTTATCTTCCCGTCCACTCACCCACTCACCCACTCCCTGTTCACCTACTCACCCATCCACCTGTCCAGCCACTCATCCATCCGCCCACCCACTCACTCACACCACCCATCCATCCATTCATCCGCTCGCTCATGTACTCATTCACTCTGGGCGCTTCCATCCGTGCATCTGTCCATTCATTCATTCATCCACTGCTGCACCGTCACTCCTTCAGTCACACGTTCACTCGCATCCACAGAAAGTTATTTGGGCCTGATGTGCCAGATGGTCTTTGAAGCACTGAGGGGCAGGGTCTGGGTCACAGCCCAGGTCTCTGGCCTGCAGCATCTGTCAGAGCCAGCACTTTGGGGCCCTTTTGAGTTCCTGGCCAGCCAGGCCGGCAGCTGGCCAGCTATCTCTGCAGGCTTCGGGGCCCTGGACTGTGCCAGGATCCTGTGTCAGTCCCAGCTTCCGCTCCAGGACAGGGTCCACAGTCAGCATCCAAATGAGACCAGACCCTCACTCTGCCCCTGACCCTTGGCCCCAGGGAGGGATTTAGAAGTGAACAAAAATGACTTAAAACCTACCCTGTGAAGCTAACACCCTGATGATTACGTGTATCTGTGTGTGACACTCGGACAATAAACTTTGCTGCTGTGTCTTGGTCAGAAGTTCTGTGAAGTGGACATGGAGGGGAGGGGACTGCGGCGTGAACAGTGCAGTGGATGTGGCTTCCTGGCCACTCCTCTGCTGAACAGACCTGCAGACAATAGTAGCTCGCTTTCACTGTGACTCGCCCATTCAGTGTTTGCCAGGCCTCTGTGCGAGGGCCAGGGGAGGCGTCTCCCTGGGGCTGATGGTCAGGGGCAGAGTGCGAGTCTGGCCTCTTTTGGATGCTGACTTTGGTGCCTGTCCTGGAGGGGGAGCTGGGGCTGACACTGGATCTTGGCACAGCTTAGGTTGCCCCGAAGCCTGTAGAGCTGGCCTGCTGCCTGCCTAACTGGCGAGGAACCTAACGGCCCCAAAAGGCTGGCCCTGGCAGATGCTGCAGGCCGGAGACCTGGGCTGTGACCCAGTCCTTGCCCCAGCACCAGTACCCCGGCCCCCTCTGGAGAGCAAACAGCCTGGGTTTAATTTACAGCGGGACAGGGAGCAATCCGTGGCCTTGGCTTCTACTCTCAGTGAATTTAAGCTTGTCACCTTCGCAGCACATGACACCCAACAGCTGGACACTGATATCAGCCTCTGCGAGCACTGGCACAGACTCAATCTCTGCCTCTTCCCGACAACAGCCTGAGCCTTTTCAAATATTTACAAGTGAGGTTCCCTCCGGAGCAGGGGGAGGAAGGGGTGGGCTGCTGGGGAGAGAATGAGAGCCTGGACAGACGCACACAGGGAAACAGGAGACGCTGACCGTCTGCACTGCCCGCGGTGGGGAGGCTTTGTGAGAAATGCATCTCGGTGGACAAGTCACAGAGCACAGGCACCGGGCCTTGGATGGTGTGGCCTCCTGCACCCTAGTGTTCACACACTGCAGAGGCTGCCACTCCTGGGGCCAGAAGAGATTAAATCAAGCCCAGGAGAAAAGATGCAGCCAGAAGACAAAGTCAACATGGGTGGCACAGCTGAGTGTCACCGTGACTCAGTTTTATCGAATGTTTTTCTTTACTAAGGACAAGGAGCACACGCCAAATAAAACAACAGTAAGAAGGCCATCGGAGCAGCTTGGTTCCCCCAGGCCTGGGAGGCAGCTGCGCTGGGAGAGCTGCAGCAGAGTCCCCAGCGCCATACACCCAGGGCAGGGCTGAGCCTGGACTGTGCCCTCCCAGCCCAACCCCTGCTGCCCAGGGCCATCCTGACACCTCATGCCTCTGAGACATTGAGGAGCAGCCTAGAGGCCACCGTGCACGGGGCTGAGTGGGCCCAGGGGCTTGGAGGAAGCCCTCTGTCCAAGATGCATGAAAGGAAGGGGAAGGCACGTGTGCCAACCACTGGTTGGTCACCTTTGCCCAAACTTCACAGCCTCGCTGAGCCTTGGGAGCCATGAGCAGCCAGGCAGGAGGTTTCCGGGTTGCTGGACTCCAGCTCAGTGGTGTGGCATTGGGGAAGTCCTCGTCTCTTAGACCTTGGGCTTCTGCTCTACAAACCAGGCCCCTGGTTTTCTGTCCTGTCTACCTCCCCAAGCTGTTCCCTCAGGTTCATTCCCATGGGCGTCTCCCGAGGTCTTTTCCTGAACCACGCCCTCCACCAGCTACCAGGGATGCAATACTGATGACATAGACAGGTTGTTACAGGGTCCCAGCAGGGAAGCAGTTGTGTGTATGGTTTGGGGTCCTCTTCGGGGGAAGGCGTTACCATCCCATGCTGCACTCTGGCAGTCAGGGCTTTCTCATCACAAGTTCTCTTTAAGTGTTGGGCCCCAGCCTGGGGGGCCAGAATAAGATGAGAATTTTGCTAAGTGGTACTGGCGTTGGCAGTAGAGAAAATATGCTCCATGGAATAAGGGCAGGCGCTGGCTAGGGGCTACCTTCTGCCTCCTTCAAGAGCTCCTGGGAAAGCTCCTTCTTTGGCTGGAGCCTCAGCTTCTCACCTATCCAATGAGACACGCCCATGTCCCCGGAGGGCGGGTGTAGCACCTGTGAGTGACATTATTGTACCCATACTCTGAAATTCCAGGGGGCTGCTACCGCCTGCCTTCTGCCATCTTCAGGAGGTGTCTCCTCTGCCCGCTACTGTCACTGTGATTGCTCTGCTCTCTGGGAACACTTTTAGGATGGGTGGCCCTGGCCCATGTGCCTCTCCTGTGCAGAGCATCTTGGAGTTTCCAGGGCTTGTGCCATGTCTCTTCTGAGTCCTCCTGTAGTCCTGCAGGACGGACAGCCACCTCATTGCCTTGGAGCTCAGTAAGGAGAAGGAGTACCTGAGCGCATGGGTGGCAAGCAGCACAGACAAGACTTAAAGCTGGTCTTCCTACTGCAGGGTGAACCCACCCACTCCTGTCTCCCCATCAACAGCCTGGTGCTGCCCACTTACCACCTCTAGGGTCTCAGGAGAGCACATGACACTTGACTGCTTGTGTATGGGCTGCCTGGTCTCAGGCAGGTCATCCTGGTGAGCACAGCATGGGGTTTTGTCGGCATATTGACATTCGTTCCACATTCATTTCTATTTCCTCAATTAGGAACGCTTAATTTAATAGAATGCTCAAAACCCCAGAAGAGGAACAAATATGCAGGCAGAGAGCTCCCTCAGTCCCCCGCAAGACCTTCCTTTCTTTGTGGGGTTCCCTCCTTCCTCCAGCTGCTGGGTTTCTGGCTCCTTGCTCAGAAGTAGCAGCTTCTCAGAACTCCAGAGACGAGCTGGGTACTCACCTGGAGCTCTCAGGGCAGCCCCTGGCTCTTTCTCCATTCCTGGAACTTTGGTCCTGGTTCTGTATCAGACCTGATTTGGGGCCCTGGAGATGGGTGCCTTGCTCAGGAGCAGTGGTTTAGTGGCACGTAGGGTCTTTTGTGGGTTCAAGCCTGTCCCCCCAAAAGTATTGAAATTGTAACTCTGGTACCTAAGAACTTTAGGGATGTGTGATAAGAGAGCATCAAGATGATGCTTCAGACCCCAACCTGAGAGCTGGACCAGCTGATGGTGCACAGAGTAGAGACTGTCTGGGCCAAACCCTGCCTGCCTGTAGGTTTGGGAGCAAAAGAGATGCTGTCACTGTGCTAAGATGCTCAGCTGTGGGTGGTTTGTCAGGGAACACCTCTCATAAAAGGAACAGTGTGGCTGTGGAGTGGGATATTTGCAGCAGACGCCCCTCTTCTCTTGGCCTTCACCACTTCCCAGCTGTACCTGCCCGTCCACATCCTTGACCATCCACATGATGCCTCCTCTGGTTTGGGAGTCTGCCTGGCTGGTAGTGGGGCAGGAGTGGCTCATGGGCAGTTCGTGTGCCTGGGGGCAGCTCCTAATCCTGGTGCCCTCAGGGCGCCTGGCCCTCTTGTCCTCAGATGGGACAATCCGAGGGCACCTAGGTGATTTCCAAAGGCTCCTTCATGGGGCTGAGCCTCAGTTTCCCACTCTAGTGCCTCCATTCTCACTTCTTGGCTCCCAAGCTTCACCTGGAGCTTTCCGGAGTCACGTCCCAGAACCTTCTTAGCCCGTAGCAGGGCTCAAGGAGGTTCACCCAGCATCCCAGAATCCCTGGCACTTTCTGGACAGAGGATGCTGGCTCCTTAGTTGTCCTCTGTGGTCTCTGGGCTGCATCCAGAGACTGACTAAAATTCCTACTGCTCTGCACACCCAAGTGACATACCTAGAATCAAGGGAAGTGGTGACAAAAATACACCAAGGAGTTGGGCAGCATGGTGACAGGACACGTGACATCTGCGGAGGAACAAGGAAACAGGGAAGCGTGTTCAAGCCTCACGTGCAGAGCACTGTTGTATTTATACATCCCTCGGGGCTGGCATCTCCTCAGAGGCACTGTGCATCTGTGAGGTCAAGCGGGAAGTTATCTTCACCTTAAGCAGAGAAAAAGTCTTGATGGTTGCACGGTGATACCTGCTCCTTGGAGCTCCATGGATTTTCCCTTCTCCTGTTCATGTTCTCTAGCCACTGGCGCCCACAGGGACCATCGGCTGCTAGATTTTCCAGAACTCAAGCTACAAATTACCATGAAATGATGCTAATAAAACTGCAGGTCCCGATATTTGGCTGAAAAGCAGGGTCGATGAGCCCACGCCCTAGGGCCTGCTGTGTATTTCTCAGGAGGGAGGCACGGGAGGGCAGCAGGCAGTGCCCCTGGGCTCTCACAGGTATTTCCATCCCGGTGTCTCAGCCAGACACAGGGTGGGTAACAAGGCCAGACATAAGTCTGGAGAAAACCTGGCAGGGAGCAAGGATCCCACCAGATTAGCAAATGACCAGAACCAACCATCAAAGGACCTGGATAAAGGGGTGGAGATTCCCTCAGGGGGTATTTAAATACCGACAGTGTAAGTGGCCATAGAGACCTGCAGTGAGTGATCAAAGGCGACTTCAGAATGTGGATCAGGTGTCCAGCAGCTGGCGCCAGGAACCTGGAGCTGTGGGAAGAGGTAAGGGATTCACCAACATAACCAGGCTTTGTCTTCAGAGGAGGGAGATCTTTGGGAGCAGGAGGGACCCTGGATCACAGCCATCATGTTTGTTTTTTTTATCTTCATTTTTAAATAATTACAGGCTCACGCGATGTGGCCAAAAATAGCCCACTAAGTCCTGTGAAATCCTAACCCATCTTTCTCCAGTGGTAACATCTTTCATAGGGGCAGTCTGTTATCAAAGCAAAGAACTCACCTCACACCTCTTAGGTCTTGTCCGTGTGCGCATGCGTTGTGAGTGTACATTTTACGCTGCCAGCACCAAATCGAGACAGAACCGTTTCTTCACCTTTAGGGGGCGCTGTATAGCCTTTCTTGACCCTGGAACCCCTCGTCAATTCGCTTGTCCCCGCAGTTTTATCTTTTTGAGGATGTGAGATCAGTGGACTCCTACAGTACAAAATCTTTACAGATTGGCTTCCCTCGTTTAGTACAATGTCTTTGAGTTTAGAGGGCATGCAGGGATCAGACCAGCGACCTCCCACTTTCCGGCCGGGCGGACTGGGCGCCTAACCTCCTGAGCCAGATGCTCAGTCTGT